TGGAAGCATGCCTTCCATCTATCACAACATGCTCGATTTGGTTTCCCGTTTTTCGATGTGGAGACATCGATGTAGCTTGATGGATCTTTTTATGCTAGAACCCAGTAATACATACTGCCAAGTTTTCGGCGAAGTCGATCACTCTCAGCTAATATGTACGCTCTAAGCTAAGAGAGTCTTGGATGCCTCGTCCCTCTCTTCCATCGGGGCATTGGCACATATGAATGAGATGTTGAAGAATCTCGCTTTGATGCGGATTGTGGCTAGACTTTCGTCCACTAGAGTGAACGCCGGTCTCCCTCCCACCACAAATCCAACACCGAATTGCACTCCTTTACGTGGCAACTGTAGTAGACGTCGCAAGGCTCCACGCTTACCTTCCTCGCGCCGTCCATCGCATTTCGTAGGTGGCGGTGATTTTCTGTAGGATATCAACCAGCCGGGCAGAGGCACCATCCCGAATAAGTGTTCGGATATTCCAAGTGCATACCCTAAAATCATAGTCCTTCCTATGTTTGCCGTGATCGTCATCAAAAGAAGGGGGTATCATCCCAGGCATGTGTTTTTTTTTCATTGGGCAGGGTTTTAACGTGGACCCAAACCCAGCGCACGCGGGCTACTCCCAGTTGAATGGCAGTACTGGCAAATGTACAAAACATAGTGGTCAAAAGCGAATATCTCAACTAAACCCTGATATATTTTATAAATTCATAGCTCTACATACCTGTACAGTAAACCAAATAGCCCGACGCTATTCAAAATAAAAAATTAAAAAAATAAACTTTTTTCCGTATACTCTGTAATATTTCTCCGCAATTTTGTAAGGTAAACTAACAATTTATAACCATTGCTTTGCAGCGAAATATCTTCTCTTAAATTACATACATAGGTATGTGTAAATATGAGGACGTATTGAACATTTTGAGTATGCAGATTTTTTATGCTGGTGTATTCATTTATGCTAAATATATTACTGATTTTGTTTTGTCACACTTAAGAAGTAAACGTCTTGGCTGTTCACCCAACCTCTATAGTCTATAGTTTTATCAATAATCTCAGATTGGTTATGTGATACAAAACTTTCGTTGTACGCTTAGAAAAGACACAAACGTAAAGACAAAGTAATAAACAATTGAACTATTTTTGCTCATTGTCGACTGCAGTCAGGTTTTTACCCTTTTTAAGTGGAAGTGCTTTGAAGTTAGAGAGAATAACTTGATACAGAACCGGATGATCCACATATCCACTTTTTAAATTAATTTACTAATTATTTTGTTTGCGTTGGGAGTATAATTTGTTATATAGTATATATTTATATAGGAAAAACCTTTTCCTGGTACTATTTTTGAATATCTAGGGAAAAATTTGGAAGTTAGGGGGGCCCGCCCTCCCCCCTAGCCCCTACCTGGCTACGCCCATGTGTCGGATGTATCCTTCTGACTTCCATCTTCACAATCTAGCATCATGGTACGATCGTTGTTTAAACACCGTTGTTTTCCAAAGAATTCTTCATTCTCATTCTGTTGGTTGTTTCGGAATTCGGAGAACACGTCATCAGCGTTTTTCGATTTTAGCTTTTGTAATTCAATTTTAATGCTTTCTTCTGTGACTGGTCAGATATATGTACGTGTTATCAGTGCACTTGCATAATATTCTAGCGATTGAAAATAACAGTTATTTTTTTACGAGTTAAATTTGGCCTAATACTTTTTATTCCGAAATAAACGTCACTTCCGGATAATAAACAAACCGCTTATCCAAATTAAACAAATTTGGTGTCATATGAAAGAGGATTGAAATAGCTTTTAAACAGTAAAAACGATCGATTTATAAATTTTTTTTTATAATATAATACTAAAGAAATTCATATAAATACATACCTGCCCCAAGGTTTGTTCTAGGGTTATTAATTTACTTTTTTATTGACATTTCAGTTTTAAAGCTATTTAAGTCTTCTTTCATTTGATACCAAACTTGTTTCATTTGGATAAGCGATTTGTTTATTGTCCGGGAAGTACTTTCATTTCGGAATAAAAATATTTGGCCAAGTTTAACTTGTAAAAAAACTTTAATTTTCGGTCCCTTCAATATTCGCATTCGCAAAAGATCCGCATTGATTTTTGCGAATGCGAATGTTAAAATTAATGCGGAAGCTCCGCGGTTGCGAATGCGAATATTCGCAACAACCCTGATATGCACATATATCTATATGTAAATAAATAAATGTAAGCAATTGTGTGTAATGAGCTTCCGCCCACATGTTAAGGCGAAGATGTTGGCATACATTTAAACCCAATTTAGGCTTAAACGCACTGCACTTTTGCACAGAACTATCTTGGGTTAAGTGGCGGGACAAAAAATGAGCCTGGAACTTATAAGGGCACTTTGGAAAATCATTTAACATTTCTTGGTTGTATGACTTGCATATATACATATGTACATGTTATGTACCAATAAGTTTAATTTCTTAAAAGTAAATTTAAAACATTTAATTACACATTAAAATCTTTAGCAGCTGACCACACATAGTGCGGATCATTTTTGTTTACAAGTTCCTTGCATACCATTATGCTATTGATACAGTCAATCTTAAGTTTATTTCCTTGTTTAGTTTTTATCCAAAAAGCGTTGAAAATTTGCGTTCTACAGCCGCAGAGCTATGTGGTCAGTGTTGCCAGAGAAAAATTTCGTTTGGAGCCAAAACGGTCGAAAAAAGAGCTAATTAATACTAATAGTAGCAAAAATTAAGGGCTACATATTTTTGTTAAGGTGGAACATATATTGATGTAAGATTGTTTTAACATTTTCGGCAATTTTAATAAAAACAACGAATTTTATACGTTTAAGTGCTGAAGAAATCTTTTATAACCAAAATAGGGTGCATACTTATATTTCGAATTCATTGCTGTTAAAGTCTGTAATTTCAGATATTTGAATTGAATAATTTTTTCGCAAAATTTTTCTGGAAAGTTTTACTTCAAGCTCCCCTTAAAGGTAAAATTAGTAAGGTATAACAAAATCCGCGCTATCAGAAAAAGGATTTTCTTCTAATTAATTTTTGAATTCTTTAACCTAGATCCAAGAGTTTATGGTGGATACACTGCATCTCGAAATTTTCCATTTTATCAACGCTTAAGTTTTGGCTTGTATATACCAAATACAACAACAACTTTCTGGAGCTAAATTTTGCTAGATAAATTTGAAAAGAGCAAGGGGGTAAAACCCAATTTTTGGAGCTAAATAGNAAATAATATAAAAAAAATCTTTTTTAAAAACAAGCTTTTATTTAACATGTACAATCAAAGGAATAAGATAAAGTAGTGTAACAAAACATTTTTTAGCATGAACATTTTTTCAAAACTGCACTAAAATGAATAAAATAAAATAAGTTAAGGTCTCGTTAAAGTTATTAAAAGCCATTTAGTGAAAGGAGTTACTCAAACTCGAATGAAAATTACTAAAGTTTGTCGCGCGAATAGCAAACCGGCATTTAAATATCTGCATACATACATATACATACCTAACCAGTTATGCAT